AGTGCCTCTTCCAGTGCTTTCCCGTTTATGTACTCCCAGGAGTGCACATGCAGATATGAATCACTCTCATAGTGGCTGTTGCGTCAGTTCTGGCTCCCCTCCACCAACAAGGTTATAGAACGTTGATTTCTTCATCTCCTTCGCACTTTTGTGCCTGTAGATTTTGTTTAGTCTGTTCTAAATGTCCCAATCATTTTTTTTTCTAAATGGGACAATTAGACCCCCACTCCAACCCCTAGATCCCCAAATGAAACAAATGTCCTTGTAGTTTCATCATCTTGCTGTAGGTCATGTCAAAAATGATTACGTAGTTTGCCTGTTGTTCCCAGGTGAACAGGGAAAATGGTCTGGCATAAGCCTTTCCACTCTTGTAATTCAAAGCTTTCATTATGTTGCAGCATTAGTCATCTACTGACTCACAACAGCTTTTTCCTTGTTGTATTCAACATTGCTACTCCTTTTTGTTTTGGCAAGGTTTTTGTCCCACATGACAGGCTGTGATTGAACAAGTGCAGCACTTTACTGGAAATTCTACACGCTGGTGATATCTCTGCTTATATTCTAACCAAAATCTTGGAATAACAGCAAAGGCTGTTAGCTTCTGATCTTGGAATGATTTCTGTACCTTTCATGTAAAACAGAAATACAGGAGGGTTACCAACCTCAAGGTGGGGCCTGGAGTTCTCCAAAGACTAATCTCCCCTCAAAATCAACATGGGCCCCGGTCACATGGCAAAGTTGCCACGGGAGAGGCACGGGAGTCCTGCGGATTTTCCGGGCGTGATCTCACCCCAACATCTGGGAAGCGCAGTGCTCCCGTGGCGAACCCGTGGCTCCCCGCCGAAGGTGCAGAGTTAAAAACTAGTACCTATGAGGTACTAGTTTCCGGAAACCACGGGCCAAGGGTGGGTATCTGATCGTGTTTCCGGTGGACTTACGTGGCATCCGGCGCCCGCCGTTGTTCGTCTCCGCAGGTTGCGCAAGAGTGTCCAACAATGCATGCGCACAAAGAGCAATTGCTAGTGCAATCGCGTGGGGCGGCTTCTGTGCCACGCTGCAGGATACCTGTCTGATCGGCATTTCCCCTGAACTACGGGACCTCGACCGGGACGTGTGCTCGGGCTGCAGCTCATTAGTTTCCTCTGGGGCAATTAGCCACGCCTCCCCCCCACAATATCCGGCCCGTGTGACCGGGGCCTTGGAAACTTCAGCTGGTGTAGAATGCCACAGTTCAGCTATTATCAAGAGGTAGACAGAGTATGCATATATTACTCCCATGCTGCAAGTGCTTCACTGGCTACCCATCAGTTACTGGCCCAATTTAGCAAAGGTTGAGTCCAGTGGTACCTTTAAGACCAACAAAGTTTTCTTCAAGGCATAAGCTTTCATGTGCAAACACTTCTTCACAGGGGTCATTTCTTGCCGAAGCACCCCAGAGCGGTGCTCCGGCAGGAATGAGCCCGGGCCCCACCCCCTCCTGAGGAGGGAGAATTAAATGCCTGGCTTCCCTGCGCAATCTTCTCCGAGTGTCCCGCATCTGCATGTCTGCCCAGCTCCCCTTCCTGTCTCCAGCCAGCCCGGGTGGGGGGATTTAAATGCCTGGCTTCCCTGCGCGATCTTCTCGCCACAGAGCACTCAGAGAAGATTACACAGGGAAGCCAGGCATGTCTGCCGGGCTCCCCTTCCTGTCTCCGGCCAGCCCACTTTTGCGGAGAGACTGGAGGGGGATTTAAATCTGAGCATTTCCAGCTCACCCCTCCCTTCCTCTCTCCCTATTTGCTTTCTTTCTCCTTCTTTCTTCCTTCCTATCTCTCTCTCTCTCTCTCCCTTCCTTCTTTCTTGCCTTCTGACATACTTCTGGTGATGTCAGGGGGTGTGGCATATGCAAATAACTTATGCTAATGAGTTATGCTAATGAGCTCCTCCACCTCTTCTTCTATGAAATGACCCATTTCTTCAGATACAGTATCTAAAGTGTGCTTGCACACAAAAGCTCACACCTTGAATAAAGCGTTGTTGGTCTTAAAGGTGCCACTGGACTCAAATTTTGTTCAACTGCTTCAGACCAACACGGCTACCCACCTGGCTCAATGTAGGGTATTAGCTATCATGTACAAAGCCCTTCATGGCCTTGGACCCTCAAAGCTACAAGACTGTTTCTTCCCGCTATGTTCCACCACAACAGCATCGCTCCTCAGAGCAAGGTCTTCTGCAGGTGCTGATCTGCAAATGAGCAAAATCAACAACTGCCTGTACACATGGCTTTTCTTTTGGGCCTCCCCCCCCATGGAACAGCCTGACTGAGGTGGACAGGAAGGCTCCCACTCTCCTGGCTTTCTTCAAACTATGCAAAGATAAATTATTCAGGAGGGTGTTTCTCCACAGGTAATAGGGTTGGACTGTACAAAACAACTGACAGTGTTACTTGGAAAAATTATTAGGGACTGTGGGCTATATACAACTGTGTACAGCTTGCTAAACCTAGGATCCTGCTATGGAATTTTTTCACCATTTAATGCGTCAATACTTCTGCTTTACTTCAGTTTTGTTTTTAGACTTCTGCTGTGGTTCTACAACCCTAATCCTATCGCACTGCATGCCCTATCTGTTGACGGTTCTACAACCCTAATCCTATCGCACTGTTTATTGCATGTCTCATCTGTTGTCTGATTTGACTCACTCTGTGTAATCCACCTTGAGCCCAAGTGAAAAAGGTGGACTATAAATAACACTAAATAAATAAATAAATAACCCCCCTTGAGGAACTGGCAGCTTTTGAGGGCCGACTCGATGGCATCATATCCCCACTAAACTCCTCTCTTCCCTCTGCAAATCTCCAGGAATTTCCCAAGCCAGAATTGACAACCCAAGTCCAGTGACAACACAGAGAACAAAATTAGTTAGTGGCACCTTTAAAAAGCAGTGTTGAAAGTTATAAGCAGCTGGTTTAGAGGAGAATGTCTTGAGAGTGAAATTCCAAATGCATCTGATTCTCATCCTGCATAGTCTGAGGCAGAAGCCACTCAACACTGAATACTGCACTAGGTAATAATTGGTTCCCGAGTGGGCGGGAAAATCGAGAAAGTGACTGTTTCAGACAGTTCAGTGTCCCAGACTAATATGTGATTCTACTTTTGACGTGACATTTCAGCACTTGCAGGTGTTGTTGCTCAGCTTGCCAGCAGACCTAGAGGAAACATGTCCCCTGAACAGAAGTGTAATGAGTGGAAATCGGCCCTTGAAGCTCTTCATGCTGAGGAGGTAAATAAAACCACTGGTAAATAACCTTTATTAACCCTCTGTTAAAGGGACTGGACATTTTTTCTTCACCTGGCAACCTTATTCCTGAGCCAAATCTTCTTCCTCTCCAAGGTGACTTACTATGATTTCAGGTCAAACTCAGCTTATGAGGCTTACTTCCATGATCGTGGTTTCAGGACTGCAAACTAATGCTCTTGAGGGCTTGAGCCAGCCAATCCTCCCTATTTTTTTCTTATTTTTCCTTCTGTCTTTTTATTAAGCATTGAAGTGCAGACAGCAGTGTATGCCGGATGCCCATGTGCATGTTTTCTTCTTCTTTTGACTTCCTGTATGCATAAACAACTAACTTGCTGCTGTGTGGCTCATTTTCACTGTCAACAATTTGTTAAAATTGCTATTAGGAGTTATAGTTGTTTGGACATTCCTACAAAGAGGGTTGCCAGGTGCCTGGAGAAAAATGTCCTCTCCCTTTAAATAGAGGCTTAATAGGATGTTCTTTAGGAGGTGATGTTATTCACCTCCCTGCCAGGAAAAGCTTCAAGCAGCCCAATTCCACACATTAAACCTCTATTAAAGGGGAAGGATATTTTTCTCCTGGCCTGTTGGCACCCCACCTACAAGCATGGCAGCAAGGCCCTGATTGTTGTCCTTCCCTGCACTGGTATATGTTTACTGAACATGAACCATTTAGTTACAGCCCTAATAACACTTTCCTGGGATGAGGGCTATTAAAAATGGGTTTTATATCCAGGCAGACCTACTTTGGATTGCTCCCATTGGTTTGCAGGCAAATTCATGCTTATCCCCCTTTTAAAGGCCATCTAAGTTAGTGGCCTCTGCTACATTCAGTAGCCATAAATTCCTTTTTCTTTTTCTTTTTAGAATTTATGTTACAAAATTCACACCCCACCTTCCTGCCTCAAAAGTAGGTTTTACCAACAACCTGGCAGGAAAATGTCCTGTCCTTTGAGAGACTTCACAGGTGTTATTTATTTCTGAGTTGGTGTTAGTTATCTCTGTTCTATGAACAATTTCTGCTGACCATTTCCACCCAAAACCCTACTATTAAAGGGGTAGGCTATCGTTTGTTTATTTATTCGACTTGTTCTGCAGGCTTGTTGGTAACCCCAAGAGCCACCAAGGCAGCTAACAAATTAAAACATACATAATAACTTCTTAAAAACATTAAAACCAACCAAAAACACAGAAGTAGAGTTAAAATATATACAAAAACATAAAAACAACAAATCAAAACTATGACCATAATTTATTACTTATTGGGTGAAGACGGCCAGAAATCAACGAGGGGACCGCGTCAATCTCCCTGCATGTTGTGACAGCCCCCCCCCCCCCCTTTAAAAAAAAAAAAAATAATATTAGTGGCTATGGACCTACGATTCGGCCGTGATTCATTCTTCCTCCCAATAATTCGACTCTGCTGGACACAAAGCTTCGAAAAAAGCCACCTGCAGCTTCCACACAAACGATGAGTGCCTGGAAGAGAACGCCCAAACCGTTCACATTAGCGCGGATCAGAAGCACAGCCCCTTAGATCGACCTCCTACGCGCATCGTCTCCTTTAACAGGCAAACGCAGCTAAAGAAGCGACCGACGCAAAGCGGCCCTAGCCGAGAGATTGGAGCACCCCCTGGCGACCAAACCGGCCGAGGAAAGGCCAGAAGCTTCCAGCGAGAGGCAGGCGGCTGCCACGTCACGTGACGTAGCAGGGGCCTAAGCAACAACAGCAGGACCGGCAGCAGCAGCGGCGAGAGGGTCGGTTTCGCTTCGTAGAGGCTGCGGCGAGGTTTGTGGTGTTTGGTTTCTGTCAGAGGAGGGGGTGGCTGGTCGGGAGGAGGGAAGAAGAGGAAGGCGAACGTCTGGAAAGTGGGTTGGGGGCCTCCGGTAGCCTGGGAAACTTCTTGGTGGCCTTTCCACACTTTTAATCTTTCACGTCCCCTGGGAGAATCTGAAAATGCACTCTGCGTACGCTCAGAAGCACCTTCTTCGCCACTGCTACGGGGGGTTGAGCGATATTAAAAGTAGCTCCAGGGATTGGTGAAACCAGGCTTCAGTGGCATACCCGGGGATGTTTCTTGTCGGTGGGCGAGCGTATAAATAGAGTAGCCAAATTGTTGCAGTAGCGCCGGTGCACAACTGTCAGTGGGAGTTGTTGGGAACTGGATGCGCCGCTCATTAGTTACAGTCCGAATTTATGCAGTTTTTCTCAGGAGTAAGCTCAGTTTGTGCATACTTGCAAGTAAGGGTATGCCGGGGCCGGGGTGCATCCTTATGTCCCATTCGTACTGCGTTTGCGCTAACGTAAGTTCCATTGAGTTTAATAAAACTTGCTCCTAAGTCAGTGTGCATAAAATTTCAACCTTGATGGCCTTTTTGGTGAAGCCACCAAGGAAAGCTATTGCTCGTCTCCTAATAGAATACGATACCTTTTAGCTGTCTTTTTCCAGGAGATTTTCCATCAGTCAATTGTATGTGTGGGGGTGTGTGTGGCAGACTTCCGGTTCCATTATAGCTGCCTGAGTGCATCTGCCTATCCAGCTAGAGCAGAGGATGAACTTTGAAGCCCTCGAACTGGCCAGAATCCACCTTAAGCTCATGACTAGGCTCCCCCCCCCTTTGCTGACGTGTTTTCCCATTTTGTAGCTAACTCTGTTGCATGTTGATTGCTGTTCAGAGCCAATCTAGAGCCTTGGTGCACAGAGAGCTCTCTGTCCTGGAACATCACGAGTTTACAATGGCATGGCAGCGTTCCCATCTCCAAACCATTCTTATCATTTTGAAAGCTGGCATTCCCCGTGGCTTTCACTGACAGGTGTTTTTTTTTTAATCTCCTGTCCTATTATTGAATGCTACTATAGAGGCTTAACTGCGTTGGGAATGAGGTTACATTTTAATCGTGCTTGCAACAAACAGCCTGTGTCCTGTTAAACCAGGTGGAACTTGCTTCTAAGTGAAATTTGCTTGGGATTGTTTCACAACTGAATACTTATATCACAATGTGTATCTCCAGCTGTGCTCTTATTCCTCCTTGTTTAGCTAAGGAACTACCATCATATAAAAGAATTAACTCTTAACATTACTGTTCAGAGTTTAGAATTCACCAAAAAACTGGGAGAGCCAGTTTGGTGTAGTGGTTAGGAGTGTGGACTCTAATCTGGGAGTACCGGGTTTGATTCCCCACTCCACATGCAGCTGCTGGTGTGACCTTGGGTCAGTCACAAGTTCTTTCAGAGCTGTTCTCTCAAGAGCAGTTCTCTAGAGAGCTCTCTCAGCTTCACCTACCTTACAGTGTGTCTGTTGTGGGGAGGGCGGGGAAAGGAGATTGTAAGCCGCTCTGAGACTCCTTCGAGTAGTGAAAGGTGGGGTATAAATCCAATCTCTTCTTTTTCTTTTGTAGTCTGTGTCACTTTAGGTGGGAGAGTGCATGTTGAAACGCCCTTCAGTAACCCCCACTAGAGGCACAGTGTGGTGGATAGGGTGCTGGACTAGGTCTGAGGAGGTATTGGTTCAGATCTCCACTCAGTTGCATGACTCCCTCGGTGACTTTGGGCCAGTCACCATCTCTCGGCCTAACCTACCTCACAGGGTGTTAGGGGAGGACTATGGCTTTTTGGAAAGGCAGGACAAAAATGTAATTAATAGTTGTAGAAAAATAATATACCTAGAAGAGTTTTCTGCAGCCCGAAGTGATACCTTCCAGGGTCAGTTTTACCACTTGATTCTGCTCATGATATAAAGCTGGCATAAGTTTTCCAGTAAGAGATCAGCCTGTCAAAGAGCCTGAAAAATGAAGAACGTTCTGAGGGTTGTTTTTTTTTAAAAGTCTTAAGGGCAATTTGCTAGACTATTGAGTGGCTTGCGTGGGGTTAAATGGATCTTATCAGCATCAGGTTTAGACCCTTCATAAATACTAGTGTTTTGTTGAGATTAAGCATCCATGCACAACAATAGTGAGTATCCAAAATCCAGCCTAAGGAGGAAGATGAACCACTAAAGCTGGAAGAAGTCTCCATAGGATGGATGAAGGCTTCAAACTTTGCTCAGTGAAGTGGTAGAATAGAGAGAGGCTCCACCCTGGTATCTCTTTTGAAGAGAGCTCAGCCTGTGTCCTAGTAATTACAGATTGCTCGATGTGTCTATTCAAGACTCTGTTTCTTATGTGCAACCTTACAGCATCACTGAGTGTTTGTGTTTATACATTTTTGGCCTCCAAGCAGTATGCATCACCTAACTGAAGTGTCCTTTTCTGCTTTATGTCTCCAGTTACCCACATGCCGTGCTCCAGCTTGCAGTAATGGAACAAGAGCAGGATCCAGCTATGCAAGAGAGTGCCAACATCAAGGCAATCAGAGAAGAACACAGGAAGGCTTTTGTGTTTGTTAATAAAGGCCTGAACACAGATGAGTTGGGAAAGAAGGAAGAAGCAAGGAATTATTACAAGCAGGGGATTGACCACTTGATCAAGGGAGTCAGTATTCCTTCCCAGGGTCCAGCGTACACAGGACCCCAGTGGGATGAGGTCAGGCAGATGCAGCAGAAAATGAGAGAGACTCTGCAGAACGTTAGAGCTCGGCTGAGCGTGCTAGATGAGAATGCACATCCCAATCCCATGGCAGCGAGTGCCTCTGCAGAGGAACCTAGATTATATCCATCAATCCCTGCTAAAGAAAAGCCTGCAAGGCCTCCTGTACCTAATTCATTGAAATCAACGTTGCAGCCATCTGCCGAAGGGGCAAATGTTGAACCTGCAGGCCCAGACCAAGTTGCCGAGAAGAGTCCTTCCTCTTCCGTCGCTCTGCCCCTTGAGGCACCCCCTGCTTATACCCCAGAGGCCACTGATGGGCACTATACGGTGTCCTATGGAACACACTATGGGGAGTTCTCATCTGTGGGAGACGACTTCTACAACAAGAACATGCAGCCGCCTCCTCCTCAGAATTACGGAGTGGATGCAGATGAGCTGATCCTCATTCCACATGGGGTGCAGATATTCTACGTGACGCCCGATGGGCAAGTTAGCGCTCCCTCATATCCTGGATACCTTCGGATTGTGAAGTTCTTGGACAGTGAAGAAGCTCGGGCCCAGAATCGTCCCCCTGCTTTTCTTCAGGTAACACCAGGGGTCGTTTCATAGAAAAAGAGCTAGGGGAACTCATTAGCATAACTCATTAGCATATGCCACACCCCCTGACATCAGGGGCCCGGCGGTGGACCTGCAAGGCCGGCGGGAGTGTGAGGAAGCCCTGCCAAGGCCCTCCCTGGCCCCAGGCAGGCAGGGGTGGGGAGAGGCAGGGAGGAAGCAACTTACCCTCCCTCTTCTCCTGCCTCCTCCTGGCTGAATGAGGGCCGGAAGCGGGGCGGCCGGAAGCAGGGGGCGGGGCTTCGTCATGTGCCCCGCCCCCTGCACCTCACCCGGGGGCACTGCGATCCCCCGCGATCCCCCCCGAAATGACCTCTGGGTAACACCTAGAACGTGCTGTGACAGCAGCAGCCTCCGTTTGGGAGCCAGCATGGTTAGAGGTTTTGGGGTAGGATCTGGGAGACCTGGGTTTGACTTCCCGTTCTGCCATGGAAGCTTGCTGGGTGACCTTGGGCCAGTCACACATTCTCAGCCTAACCCACCTCACAAGTTTGTTCTGAGGATAAAGTGGAGTAGAGGAGAACACCGTAATTCACTTTGGGTCCCTAGTCCCGAGAATGGCAGGGTATAAATAAAGTAAATAACTCATAAATCCACAAGGTAGCCAATAGTTGATTGGAAAACAAAAGACTGTGTGTTCTCCTTGTGCTGCACTGGGACAGTGGCTTTCAAACTCCTCTTAGGGAAATCCTGGGATTCCTTGGATAACTACCATAGATTCTTGAGTGAGAAGTTTAGTAATTCTGCACAGATTACCCTGAAAATTGGTTTCCATTGCCAGTTTTTCAGGGAGAAAAAAACCTGACAATTGTTCTGTTATGTACATTCAATTCATGCAGGGCAGCAGAGTAGGCCAGCTGGCCTAGCCAGTGTCCTTCTCAAACTTGGTGTGAAACTTATAAAGTGGCCCAGCATCCTGTGCAATGTCTAGGGATTCAGCAGCAGAGGTCTTCTTCAGCTGCTGAAATGTATGTTGAATTGCCAGATTACTGTTTGGAGAAAATGTTTTGGCTCTTTCATAGAGGCTCAGAGTTCCAAAGAGCTGATAAGCTTTTAAAAATCAAAATGGTCCATTTTAACTTCTTCCATTGTTTTTTTAAAGTAGGGTTTCTTCATGCAGTGATGTACCACATAGTAGTTCCTTAGAAATCTGTGTAAAATCTGTGCAGCCATTTGCATGCATCATTGTCAGGTATAGGATTTAGTTTTTAGTGTGCATTGGAAAACACAGAGAAAGGGCTATTCATGGTGGTGAATCCAATATTATATGAGCGAATGCGTGTGATCTGGTGGCCATGGTAGAACTGGAACATAGCAGCTTCACCATCTCTATTAGTCTCTCTGGAACTAATGGCAAGTAATTTTAATATGCAAAAGTGCTTCCAGGAATTGGGCCATGTTCATAAGCTGGTATCTGAGACACAAAGGAGTCTTAGCACCAACGTTGTCATTAAATGCTTTTGCAACTCCATTTTGTACAACAAAAACTACATCTTGTACAAAGCTGAAAGTATCTTTGCAAATGTGACTAGTGGGCCCCTTTGACAACAGCATATCAAAACACTGGAGGCAGATAGATCATTTTGCAACTCTTAGGTTTGTTTATACCCAGCCCTGTATGCTGATCCTCCGGTGTTTGTCACTGAAACAGCAAAGCCCATAATTGCTAATGTGTGACTCACTGAAAATGACAGTGATCAGTTAAAATTGTCTTTGGGTATCTCTCTTGCAGGTTTGTGACTGGATATATCCTCTGATGTGCTCTCAGTCGCCTGTTCTGTCCTGCAGCACTGGAGTGTACATGTTCCCTGACGTGATGTCGCAGGTGTCAGGATCCTACGTGGGAGTAGTGTTATCTTCGGAACTCCCAGCTGGTGTCAGAGAACTGTTTGAAGATCTGCTGAAGCAGATGTCTGACCTTAGAGTGCAGGTAAATACCAGCATTAGATCATTGTCTGACAGAACAAGTTAAAATCAGACACAAGTATCGCAGGGTGACAGTGGCGAGATGTTAACATAGTCTGGGTTCCTGGAGCACCAAAAATGAATGTCAGTATCACCAATGCACAGAATTCCCTTAGGAATGTAGAACATGGCTCATTTTAAAGTGGAAATTTGATTGCGAATACATTTCCAGTGTGGCGTGCTGGGAAGGTTGGGGCTAATAAAGCTGTCCTAAGAAGTACTACTGCAGCTCCTGGAGATGGGGTGGCGGGTGGAGAAATATAGTGACTAGGTTAGTTGCTGTTATTGGTATAGACAAAACCGAGTTACTGTGAGTGCGGAAGATAAAGTTATTTAAAGTTAGACATGGTAACTTGAAATGCAGTGGGATCCCTGGCTACTCATTAATGTTTACAGAGGAAAAAATATTGCAAGATTTATGAATTTAACAAAGAAAATTCTGCTTTAAGTCGATGGGAAATCTAGCTGATAAAAGTTATCAGAAGCAAACTTGCTGCTAAAAATCTGCATTTATAATTCAAAGGTTAACACAACTTGCAAATTAAAAAAATTAAATATCCTTTATGTCATTTTAATGTAATAAAATTGGCATTACCCTAAATAAGTTTTATATCTACCACAGAATAGGCCATATCATTATGAACGGCCTGATCCTGCAGTTACTTGTTGGTGTGTGTCTTACAAACGCTTAAAGAGAGCTGTGCTAATGCATGAATTCACCTGCATGCCATTCTTAAGGGTCAGTCATTGCGCTTTTTGATAACCTGTTACTGCACAGCAGTGTGGAACAGATTCCTTGTTGAGCCTTCAAATTTTGTGAATCTATTAATGCCCTTGATATGGTGTCACAGGTTCCAGGATCCCATGAGGAAATAGGGTTACCATCATGCACAGGATTTTACAAAGAGCTTTTTGAGGATCTGTTAAAACAGAGATCTGATCTCAGAGTCCAGGTAAACTTTAGGGCTGTGGTTTTAAGTAGCAGTGGTGCAGATTTTTACCGAGCTGATGTATGTTATTTTTAAGAAATACAAGTTGCCTTTGTGGTGGTGGTGGAAAGTGCTATCCAGGCACAGCTGATTTACGGTGACCCCAGAGGGTCCTCAAGGCAAGAGATGAACAGAGGTAGTTTGCCATTGCCTGCCTCTGCATAGCGACCATAGACTTCCTTAGGGGTGTCCCATCCAAATACTAACCAGGGTCAGGCCTGCCTTAGCTTCTGCGATCTGGTGAGATCAGGCTAGGTTGGGCATGCCTTTGTGCTCTGTCACTTATTTATTGTGAAATGTACATGGCCGCAACTAGCAACCCCCCCCCACACACACACATTGCTGACGTTGGCCAACAAAATATTAAACCATTAAAAACATGATTCTCTTGTGTGTATTGCTACACTGTATGTTGAGAAAACTGTTATTTCTTGAATGCATGCCTAACATTAAATGCATGTAACTCAACTGGGAGAGACTCTTCAAAGTGTCAAAGTTTAATGACATGTCTTCTCAATCCTAGTCCAGCTGTGTGACTTTTGCATCACACTGGCTTGAAGAGTTGGGCACAGATTGTGAGACATGAGCCCAAGGTGTAGTTGAGTTTTCGTGCAGATCTTTCTTCCTTTTTGATTAGTGGTGAGAAGTCGCAACTATTAACCAGATCTGTTCCTATGTACTGGAACAAATGTATTTGAGGAAGGTCTACCAGCCAGGTCCTGTCAGTTAGCAGTTACTGACTTGACAAATGGCAATTGCTGATTCTTGGTCCTGTTGGTTAATAACACTTTGTCTTTCCAATGTCTTATAAAGCTCCTTTCTAAAAACCTATGAGGCAGGAGCGGACTGGGAAGTGAAAGTGGCCCTGGAGCAAACCAAGTTGCGTGGCCCTTGTGGCAAGCCAGTGCTGCAGGGTCGCTCAGCAGTGCAAACAATGGGTATTAGCTCACCCAGGGCTTTCTCCTGACAATGGGCAGCAGTGCAGGAAAAGGCAACTGGGGATCTGACACCAACTACTGTTGCCCGTAAAAGGCCTGAGCCAAGTGGCCCCTGAGGTTCTGAGAGAGTTGGTGATGGTGCTTGGTTGTGCTTGTCTCTGGCCACCAGCAGCCCTCGAGGGCCATGGCCCACTGGGAGATTTCCCTGTAAGCTAAATGGCCAGTCTGCCCTGGTATGAGGTGGCTTTTATTGTTGGTCAGTGGCAAATTGTTTATTGTTGCATTACCCCATAAGCATGATGCTTGGCATGGTATGAGGCGCTAGTCCCTGCCCTGAGAAGCTTACAATAAGGGGAAATAAGGGAAATAAGGAGGAGAGCGTGAATTAATTTCATTTACTTGTGCTTAGGCTTAGTTTCAGTGGGGAAGGAGGCCTAAAGGGTTGTAGCTTAGAGTGGCTCTTTTTTTATACTTCTTGTTGCTCAAACAAATTCTGCATAATGTCTGCACAATGTATCCTATTTAGCAAATGTTTTGAAACTTATCAAAATGGGGAACGGTATCTTAGAGAGCAATCTTAAACAGGTCTGCTCAGAATCCTACTCAGGTGTATTTATTGGGGCTTACTCCCAGGAAAACGTTCTTAGGACTGCGTTGTTACTCTTATGAACTGCAAAATTAAGAAACCTGTGGAGGCTGTGCCTACCAATTGTGCATGGATGTGTCCATGGCTGGCAAAGTTTTGCTGTATCACCAAATACCTATTCCCATTACACAGTGATTTACTTAAGGAACTTATAGAGGGATCAATCAGTGATCTATATATACCCAGAAATTTATATTTCTCTCCTGATCCTTTTAGTAATAGAGGCTATTTGTAATTGTTAAGCACTTGTTGGGAAACGTATACAAGATAGGATGGCAGCCAAGCATGTACAGGGGGTTGGAGTGGGGTGGAAATCTCTTGTTAACTTTCCTACGATATATTGTAAAAAGTTGATTTCAAATGTCATGTTACATTGGAATTTTAAAAATCCCCCTAGATTGAGCATTCTGAAGCAAGACCTTCATGCCTCTTGCCCCAGAGAAGCTTCTTTTGGAAAGACTAATTTTTTGTTGGAATGAACACCAGAATGGTGCTGAAATATGAGAGGAGTGACTATATAAAACTGTGGCACAGCTAGTTGGGTTCATTCTTCCATCCCCTTCCTCCCAATATGTTAAAATAATTATTAACAATGTCCTTGTCTAATCATCTTTGTGGTGCAGCCTTTTAAACCCTGGTCTGATGTCTGATCCCCATTGTAAAATCTTTGGGTAGCCTTGCTAGCAAAGGCCATCTTCACAGTTGAGCTTGGTCCTGTTCTTTGCTATGCTAGTAGACAAATATCCATCACAAGATGCTAATGCACTTTTGTTACCTGTAAGTTTGAGATGGGAAAATCTCTGAAGGAGTAAATTTCCACGAAGAGCCGCATGCTCCAGGCTTGGCTCCCTGAACAAAGGGGTATAATACAACTCTTAATATAATACAGCTTGTCTTAATACTGAATTTATTTTTATTTTTTCAAAAAATACAGCCCACCATCAACAGCGGCTTAGAAAAACCTGTTTGTACGGACAGTGTAGCAATTAAAACATAGATAACAACAACCAGATTAAAGTACTTACTGCTCGTGACAAGTTACCCAGTTTCAAGCCCCCTCCCCTTTAAATAGGGCACCTAGTGGGCCAAGGGGGGCAATCTCTTGATCTCCACAGGAAAGCTGTAGCGGAGCGGAGGACAAGAGCCACAGCTGAAAAATGATTTAAGAAACAACCAGATTAAAGTACTTACTGCTCGTGACAAGTTACCCAGTTTCAAGCCCCCTCCCCTTTAAATAGGGCACCTAGTGGGCCAAGGGGGGCAATCTCTTGATCTCCACAGGAAAGCTGTAGCGGAGGGCAAGAGCCACAGCTGAAAAATGATTTAAGATCATTTTTTTTATTTTGCTGTAATGTGGTGTCTATGAGTTTGGTTTTCTGTAGGGAGAAAAAAAGAGGAGAAACTGATGGTCATAGTGCAAATATCAGTAGGTGAACTTGGTTCTTCCCGTGTTGCCAATTTTACCTTGGCTTTTGATTTTGCTGCTCCCTGGGATGTGTCCTCCTTTAGCCAGCGGAGGCTTCCAGTGATGTGATCAACCTCCGCCAGACTGTGCATATTCAACCAGAACCTGAAGAGGGGGCAAGAGCAATACCTGACTGGAGTGAGAAAGTCGCCCATGGAATCTTATCAGGTACCTTCGTTTAGTATCCTGAAATGGTTACAGTTAATCTGTTTTGAAGATTGCATAGGAACATGTTTCTTTCTAAAAGATGTGCATAATCTGTGTTCTCTGAGATGCATCGTGTTGGATCCCACAAAAAATCTCTGCTAACAGAGGGGGTTTCTGTCAGAGGAACAGGTCTCCTGCTTCTCTCTTGCTGCAGCAGTTGAAAACACTCCCTGGAATGCAGCTCCTGTGGGATAGCGAAGCCCTGTGAACAGCATGGGAAGGGAGGGAGTAAGAGGTCTACAAGTGCAAAGGGGGGGGGAGTCAGTGACAGTTGTTATGCTCCCCCTCCCCCCATGCTTTTTCCTCAGCAGAAATTTCCCTTGGATCCAGTTCCCGGATGGTTTTTCTCTCTTATATGGGAACCACCTTGAATATTCTGTTTGGTGCACAGGGCAATAAATGTGCAATAAATGTATTTTATTCATAGACGATTCAGCACTATGACTGGTGATTGCTGTCTTATTACTGACATTATAGTTTACCCGTACTGAAATTTACTGTTGTTTAGAAAGAGCAGAAACCGTTCCTGAGTTGGCTTGGTGCTCTCTCTGGGAACAGCATAGTGTTCCATGTTAATCTTTTAAATCAATGTGGCCTAGGGTAGGAGGACAATGAAAAAAATATGAAATTTTAAATTAATTAGCATATTAGTGGTAGCAGCCTTCTTTTTAGCTTGTACTCTCAGAAGCATCTTCCAAAAGATGGCAGTTAAATAATGGTGCTGCTTCTCGAAGTTACCTCCATACATGCATTTGTTGTGTGCATCTGAGCCATGTAGGCTGGTCAGAGAGAGTCTTGGGTTCCCATGAGGAGCCTAATGGCTTATATAGTTGCCCCAAGGGCCTTGCAGCTGAAGCCATTTTCCTGTATGCGATCTAACGGTCCAGGGGAAGAGTGAATTCTACCTGGTCAGGCCCCCACAAGCTTAGAATCCGTCTGCACGTTACGCAAACTGGGGTGGTGGTTCTCGCCTCTGAGACTTCAGGCTGTGGGTTGAGAGACTCATTTTATTAATATCCACCCACATAAAACCTTACTGCTGTAATAAAAGTGCCAGTCTCTGCAGCTGTGCTTGTTTACTGTGCATGTAGAGAACATTTACCGTGGGAAAGGATGAGAAGAGATCACACACACACACACACACACAATCTGAAGCAATATGGTCCAGAATTCTACTGTTTGCTTCTTTAGCTTTTGAAGCTATCCCATACCAACCACATGGATGCTCGGTTCCTTTTCGAGCACAAATAGCCTTTGTTCCAGCGTGCTCTTGAGCAGTGCTCCTTATGGCTATGGTGTCAGCTTTTCTATAGACAAAAAAAGAATGTGTGCACAGTTCTTGCCTGGTCAGGTGGTGACAGAGTGCTGTTGCAGTTGTGCAGTGTGGTCTCTTCTGGCTCAGAATGTGTGGGAGAGAAAGCATGCTCTGCTACCAGCACCAGGTGCAATCGCAGGTCTCATTTTATTGCATTTTTATTCCATCCTTACCCCCAAAGAGTTTAGACTGGCATTTCTCCCCCCCCCCATGCACACACTTGTTCTTGCAACAGCCTTCTGAAGTAGGTTAAGCTGGTCTAAGGTCACCCAGTAGACTGGCATTGGGGGGGGGGGAGCAGTGCCTTGTTCATGGGGTCTGGGGAGCCCTGTCCTGTGGCACCGGTCAGGAGACGGATGCTTTGCAGTTTGAGAAGAAGCTGTAGCTCTACTGCTGAGAACAAGGGAAGATTTCCTATCATGACTTTTCCAGGTCTGCCTGCAGGAAGGGGGATTATGCTTCACTGAAATGAATGGGAGAGAGGTCAAAGTATGTCCCCCCCAAAAAAAAAACCCCCCAACAACATTGTGTCTGAGGAGATGGTTTTTCAGGGAGCGTTTCTTGACTTTGCTACTGTATCACTTAAGTTCATTCATTCTTTGGTGTCCCAAAGGAGCCTCCTGGGTGAGCTGGGGTCTGGCCAAAGGAGCCGAATATACTGGAAAAGCAATCCACGCAGGAGCATCTAAACTGCGAGAACACATTCAGCCAGAGCAAAAACCTTTCTTGACTTTGCTACTGTATCACTTAAGTTCATTCATTCTTTGGTGTCCCAAAGGAGCCTCCTGGGTGAGCTGGGGTCTGGCCAAAGGAGCCGAATATACTGGAAAAGCAATCCACGCAGGAGCATCTAAACTGCGAGAACACATTCAGCCAGAGCAAAAACCCGTACAAGTTAACCCAACCGTAGCAAAGGGGCTGCAAGTAGCAAAGCATGCTACAGGAGGTGCGGTAAAAGTCAGCCAGTTCTTAGGTAAGACGTGTGCATCTAAATGTAAAAAGGAAACGGTTCACTCTGTAGATGTCATCTTTTTTTGCATGTGTTTCTGACTGGCAGGAACTGACCAAGGAAACTGCTGTCCGTACCTGTAATGGGAGAACCTAACCGGTCACTCTAGAAAGCTCTGTAGGTGGATTCCATAGTTGCAAAACCTAATATCTTTTAGTGTCTTAACTCAAGTTTCCATTGAAAGAGTGAATAGGTAATTATGGTATGCTCTGTTTTTTCAGCCTTTGTTTAAAAAAGGATACAGAGTAGTTCATCTGACTTTGACTTTAAAAGATACCTCACAGATGGGTGGGTGTGATTGGTAGTAAATTGCATCAATACTATTAGGCTGTTTGTCTTGGAGTCCTTAGTTCTTGGCTAATAAATAGTGCTAAAATGTTGATTGAAATCGGTGACTTGTGTTTCTCCTGCCATACATCAAATATTGCATCAAGCAGTTGTAGTTCGGATTCTGTAGTGAACATAGTGTGATGGAAAAGAACGGGATCTCAGCTCAGACTGAAATATTCCCAATAGGGGACTTCTGGGTATCTTAAAAAAAATGGACCTGTTCAGTACATGATCTGTTCTGTTTCCAGTTAGAAATTGGGTTATCATCCTACATTATCTGGGCTGCTGTAAGAATGAGTGGGAATACTTCTGCAGTTTCACAGCAGCTCCCTCCGCCATGGAAAATGATTGAGGGGGACTTCCGGTTTGTGGATGGGCGATGGTGGTCGCTCTTCCCGGACCTCGGGGGAGTGATTAGCACACCAGCGGCATGGAGGGGTGCTACCTCAAGTGGCATCCCCGTGGAGCCTTTGTGAAAGGCTCTAGGCCAAGAGGGCTTTTGAGGGTTAGCCTCTTCGACGGCTCAATGCCAGAGAATCTAGGCTTCCCTCCGCCCTGACAGTCCTGCCGTTGTGTGGCCTTCGGGCACAAGCTAATTTGACCGGGACAAGCGCGGGAGATCGATCGGAATAACAAATGATGTGAGTGAGGTCAGAGATAATGACCAACAATGAATGTGAGTTCAAAGTAAATGGAGTATTTTAAAAAACAAATTACCCCCCCAGTGGGAAAAGCAGAGCGCAAAAAGGGCAAAAGCCCTCTTAAGCGCAAAAGCCCTCTTAAGGTCATGGACAGATAAACATATTGAAGGGGGAAGGGAGGAAGTAAACAGCGGGGTTATTTTGAGAGATTTACGTGAGTGCCGATAGTGAGCCGACGAGTTTTTTGAGCCCTTGCAAAGCGGTCTGAAATTGTAAACAAAAACTGTAAAATGGCAGCTTCCCGAGGAAAGTTAAAAGCGAAAGCACCGAGCAGTCAGAGCCCAAAACTGGAAGAGGGAGCAGACGTCATGAAGATGTTAACAGATATGCTCAAGCCGATGATGGAGCAACTCGATGGTATTAACCAGCAACTGGCCTTGTTAAACCAAAACTTCACTCTACAGCAGCGCCAGCTGGCAGAAACGGAGAAGAAAGTGGAGCATGCGACTGAGAAAATTACAGAGATGGACACGGCAAACAAGAAAATGAAGAAAAGAATGGGAGATGTGGAAACAAAACAAAACCTCCAAGAAAACCGTGTTACAGCTGAAAATGGAAAAGGCCAACATGATTCTCAGATTCCAGGGAGTTCCTGAAACTGAAAAAGAAGATTTGAAGAAGACTCTGGGCGAGATTATTGCTCCAGTAACAGGCTTACCAGCAGATGAAATAGTAAAAGATATGGAGACTGCCTATCGGGCTTACTCCAATTATATTAAACAAAATAGCCTGCCTGGAGAGATTGTGGTCAGATTTGCAAGAAGACAGACCAGAGATGTTATATTAAAGGCAACCTCAGCAACTCCACTGAAATTGGGGGATACAACCATTAAGACTTTAAAAGACATTCCATTTGAAATTCGTCAAAAGAGGAAAAGCTATAAGGATTTAATCTCTTTTCTTCAAACCAATGGAATTCAGTACCGGTGGGCAATCCCCAAAGGTGTCATCTTTAAAATTAATGTTAAAAGAGAGAAGATTGACTCCATTTTTAAAGCCAAGGAATTCTTGAGACGTCAGCTGGGATCGGGGGAAGAATCCAAAGATGAAGAAACCAAATCAAGTGACTCTGCCACCCAGAGTCCTCATCTGTTCCAGAGGACTCTGCGGTAGAAACGGGTGCGGGAGCAATGAAAGTTGTATACGATTTCAGAGATAGAAAACCGAAGTAAAGGCAGAAGGACTTTGAAAATCGCCTTTTGAAGTAAAGAAGATGCTCAGAAAGTTCTGTCATAATAACTAACATTAACATAGAAGCTGTGAAAAACAAGAACTTTACAAGTATATTGTTTTACTAACACTTTAATTACTATCATTTAGTTTAACACGGATATGATCTTCTCTTGGGTTTTTAGTTAGTATGGGTTTCTTTTCTTTATCCATAGTTGTAGTCCCCCTCCCTATATTTCTTTGTAGTTATATAGTCTTATGAAAAAATAATAAAAATATCCCTTCGGGGGTTTAAAAAAAAAGAAAATGATTGAGGGGATGAGCTATGAACAAAATGAGCTATGAACAAAATTAAGGGGATGCACTATTTAACAAAAACATGCAATGTAAATGCCAGTTATTTTCTGTTTTAGTTGAAAGCTTGTGTTCTATTGCAAGTTGTGTTGGAAGAGAGTTAGCCCCTCACGTCAAGAAGCATGGAAGCAAACTGGTTCCAGATGCCCTTAAGAAAGACAAAGATGGGAAGTCTACTTTGGATGGAGCTCTAGTGGTAGCTGCAAGCGGAGTTCAAGGTAACATAAAAATAACTCTGCTTTGTTGTATTCTGTAAGTCCTGTTTCTTTCCCCCCGCTAACTTCGGTTCCGATAAATTGATTTTGCTTGCAGGGTTTTCCACGATCTGGCTGGGTCTGGAAGGTTCTGCGAAGTGCATTGCTAAAAGTGTATCTCAGGAGACGGTTCAGACTGTCACGCACAAGTAAGTTCACCTTTTTTTCTGTCTGCTGTGCAATTGGTTTTGGTTGTGCATGAATATCAGCCCAGATCCAATGCTAGAGGTGAACTTGACTGGGCAAAAAGTGCTTGCAGAGAGGCAGGAAGAGGGAAGGGTTCAGCACCACTTCTGCTACTATTTTTCTCTCTCTTTCCATGGGATTATGACAGCCCTGCTTTTAAATGCTCAGAGTTGTCATTGTTAACGGCTAGTTCTTCCATTACCCAGTAGATCCATTCTAGTTAACGGACACCAGCAATGACATGTTTGATTACTTCATTTATACTCCGCCTTTCTCCCCAGTGGGGACCCAAAGCAGCTTACATCAGTCTCTTCTTCTCCATTCTGTCCTTGCAACAACCCTGTGAGGTAGGTTAGGCTGAGAGTGTGTGACTGGACCAAAGTCACTCAGCAAGCTTCCAAGGCAGAGTGGGCATTTGAACCTGAGATTCTCAGATCCTAGCCTGACACGCTAAGTAGAGCCAGTATGATAAAAGTGGTTAATTATACCACCAAATAAATGTTCCCCATCTTTTTGTTTGTTCTGAGGTAAGAATAAATGTTCCCCATCTTTTTGTTTGTTTGTTCTGAGGTATAACCTAGTTCAAAGTAGGTTGTTGCTTACCCCCTTCCTTCAGAGCTTGAGGGTGCATATATTTCCATGCAAGGGGTGAGCTGAGTAAAGAAACATCTCCGTATTTGCATAGGGTTGCCAGCTCTGGGCTGGGAAATTCATGGAGATTTTAGGGGTGGAGCCTGGGGAGGGCAGGGGGGGTCTCAGCTGAGTATAATGCCATGGAATCCAACTCTCAAAGCAGCCATTTTCTTCAGGGGAATGTATCTCCATACCATGGACAATTAATGCTCAGATAGTACTGTACGTAGGCTCAGGTTTACATTCCAAAGAGAAATTAAAAGGAGGCAGTAATGGCAAGTGGAAGTAACAACTCATGGACAATTAATGCTCAGATAGTACTGATTGTTTACATTCCAAAGAGGAATTAAAAGGAGGCCGTAATGGCTGTGTTTCATGCACTTCCTGCAAGTGGAAGTAACAATTATATGAGGAAGGTGACTTGGTTGTCAGGAGCAGGAGTAGAGGTCTGGAAATAGCTAATTGGCTTGCAATGATGCAAGATTAATTGAAGGGGAAAATGAGGGTTTAGTAATAGGTGGAACAGTGGTCACTGGGGGTGTGGAGCATTTCCTGCATTGTGCAGGGGGTTAGACTAGATGACCCTGGAGATCCCTTCCAACTCTGTGATTCTGGGTTGCATTATAGTGTTTTTGGTTGGCATGGGTGGCCAAGTGGGAAATTTGGGAAGTGAAGGCTGCCAGTTTGGAAAATCTTTTGCTTGGCTTATAAAGCTGGCTCCTTAACCAGGATTCACTGGGCATTTCCCACTGTAATTCTGCTGCTAGTTCACACTGCATCTATTTCATGTGGGAATACTGGTGCATCTCAGTAAATGGAAGTATTTCTCCCTAGAAAAGCTGAAGGAGACCTCTGCTTCTAAAATTCATGTTAATTTTTGTTTTTATTTTTAGATTTAAAAATAGGAAAAATGGAGATCAGCTTTCAGTGGCCACTAAGAGTGAAAAGCAATAAGTAACTTGCAGTTGTATACTACTAACCTGCATTCTTTGAGGATTCACCCCATCTCTTGTGCTTATATAATACTGTCTTGTGCTTCTATAAAATCCTACATCAACTTCATTTAGCAGATTGTTAGGTGGGCAGTGGACAAATTTGCAAGAGAAGGCCACATCAGAAGTCTGTCTCATACACAAGACTTGCCTTGTTTGCTCGCTTGTGCGTATTTAGACATTTACTTTCCCAACAGCATAACAGATCACAAATTTCAGATTTAGTCAGTTGCGCATTATACATTCCTGTAGATACTGGGCAGCTTTTTTTTACTTTTGCTATCACATCTCCACATTAGCTCTATTATAGAAATATTTGAACAAGAAATGAGGTAACAAAAAATGGCTTGTACTATGATTTACTTTAAACCCGGAAGAGCCAATTCAGATAAAGCTTAAATTTAGGATATTAACATGAGTTGAGAAATCAAACAAGAGAGTAATATTTAACCCATAAAATGTTTGCAGCACAAATATTATAAACTCAAAATATAATCTAGCAGTGGCTCTGACATTATATTGTAGTTAAGTACAAAAACTATTTTTGAGATGGTGTGAATACTCTTACTGCTACATTTGGTAGTGTATGAATCGGGCATTGCGGTAATTTCTGCTTTTTCATATTGGTGGTAATGGCTTATTACGACATTAATGAAACTAATCAAATTGAAAATGTTTTGCTGTTTACTATCCAGCCAATGATTGACTTGCTGTGGTTGGCAAATTAATATTAATTATAAGGTTGCTGCTCTGTCAGCAGGCAATTTAAGGCATGTGTTGTTTTTCCCACTTGCTTCAGTATATTTTCTGAAATGGGTATAAGACTATAGCTGACTCTTGGTAGTTCCCTTGATTACCAGCAGCAGTAAGAAGCCTCTACAGGAAAGCATTTAATATTTTGGCTTTAAAACATAGTGGATTACCCCTCAAGCAAACAAGAGCTATTCAACCTCTGTACAACTAACATTCAGAAGCTACTAAACACATAGTGAACTTCAGGATTTAACTAACCAAGTAAAATTTGGCATTCTTCAGAACTGATTTTGCTTCTAATTTAAGATTTTAGGATGTTTGTATTTCTAGTATGAATCTTTAAACCTTGTTTGAGTAGTTTTGTCTTGTCTCAGTGTAATGTACATAAATGGAACTTCAGTGATAGATCCTGGCATTTAAAACATTCTGTCTAGTACACAGCAGAATAGTGCTGGAATTGCTCATCCTTCACTGCTGAAAATTAAGTGAGATTCAGCTCTGTACAGAACATAATTTCAGAAGCAGAATAAATCTTATTCACAGCATGGTATAAGCATTTGTTTAGAGTAATGTATCCCCAAGGAAAGAATAAAAACAATTTCTGAAGCAAGGGGGAAAGGGATTTAATTTCATCTGAGACAGATTAGCAGCCATGTGAAGTTAGGGTTGTATTCTTCAATTGCTGTTTTTCTGTGCCACTCAGAACTTTTGCTTTGGGAAGATTGGGCTGAATTTCGTCTTGCAGTCTTCATAGCTTTTTCAGGTTTCTACACAATGAATATTGAACTGGCCATTGGGAATGGGTGGCTGTGCAGTTTCCCATAGCAGTATAGAAATGCTGTCCTCTCCATTGACGTGTTCCTTATTGACATTAAAGGTATGGGGAGGATGCTGGCCGTGCGACAGACAATGCAGTGAATTCTGCCATCAATGTGGGTGTGACGGCTTTTAATATCGACAATATTGGTATCAAAGCCATAGTGAAGAAAACTGCAAAGGAGACGGGCCATGCAGTGCTGGATGAATACAAAATTATAGAAAAAGAGAAGAAAAAAGATGGACAGTGATGACTCTTGTGGATGTATTTCCTGAAGCCTTAAAAGTGGTGTAATTTATTTAAAAGAAATGAACTATTAACAGATGTTCCCCTTTATTTTTCTAACTCTAATACTTCTGGACTAATTCCCAATGTTTTTTTCCCAAAGGAATCTCTTCTGGAATGAATGTCTCATTCTATCCTTGCAACAACCATCTCAGTATTTCTGTAAGAAATGGAAATTGGCATTATCACTAAGCTTCTACAAGAGGAAGGCTCTCAAACTTTTTTCATACTAGTGTTAAATTACAGTTGAGACCTATGTTGAGACCTGTGTATAGTGGGACTATTTTTTTAACCTTATTTATAGGCAAAAAGATATCTGGAATAGTTAATAATATTAATGGTTGCTGAGATAAAGTCTGATCAAACTGTATGCACTACTTTTGGTTTACACAAACCTCACTGGCTAAATAAGCTCCTTTGAAAATAGTGTAGGCTTTTCAAATATAGTTTCTGCTAAATGCAGATTTAGTTCTCTCAACACTTGTAATGAACCAAAGATTTAAATATTGCTATTTCTCCCATTAGTGTTACAGGAAGTTAACCAAACTGCAAAGTCCTGGACTTCTCTGGAGTTGGCAGGTCACTCCTGTGTTGATGGGCAGACCTAATCCCACTTGTAAATTTGCCTCATCCAGCCTGATTGTGGGAAGAGTTTTTTTGGTTTAAATGAGGCTAAAGCTGTACTAGAGAGAATGGTAGGCTCAGCATAAAAGCTTTAATCTCTGTGTTGCAGGTTTGATCTCTAACACACAAGTGAAAATTGCTGCTCTGTGTCTGACATGTGGTACATTGTATATGGTTAAATATTTACTGTGTTCTACAGCTAATATAAACAGTCAGTTGCTATTAATATGGGAATCGTCAATTAATTAACATACCCTTGCTTTAGTTTGATGTGAGTTCACTGAGAGCTTTCACGGATGCCAAATGCTGGGGTATTGCTTGAGAATAAATCCACTGGTTAAGCGGCTAATTTATCAAAATCCGACTGAGCTTTCTTAGGAATTTAAAAACTGCAAATAAACTTGAACTGAATTTTGTTGTTGTTTGCATCTTTATTTGACTACATACAAGCCATTGAGTGATGTTGGAAGGGAACTGGGAAACACATATGTTTTCATTTTGCATATGTGGGATAATTGGGATTCTTGTGTCCATGGAGGTGTATCATCTTTGTCCCTAATTTTGGCCATGGGCCTTTTACAGCTGATAGGCAGGTTGTTTTCGTAGGCACAGTGATGGGGTAAGCTATCCCTGCTGAGTTGCTGCTTCTCAGGTCAGCAAAGACACAGAGCTGATGCAGCATTTAAAAAAATGCCTACTTCATTTAGGTGTCAGAAGTCCTACGACTAATCTTTTTAAATCTCACTGCATCAGGAAACAACTGTTCTATTACACACCCTTCTTGCTTGTTCTTTCAGCCTGTATCATAACAACCCTAATTTTCAAAGAAACCTGGATGCAAGATAATGATGCTGTTATTTTTACATGTCGCTACTAAAAAAAAATAAATGAGGCAACTCGGCAGGACTAAATATTGACTGGTCAACACATCCTGACATGGAAGCAGGCAGTACTCGGGTCCCTGTTTCCTGCTATTTAGTTTGAGCACTGTTTGTCAAGATCATCTTGTTCTGGAAGCCAGAGCCCCTCTTTTGAGTGGAAAAACTACAAGGCTGTACAAGATCAGTTGCTCTAAGTTTGAACTGTTATTCAGCCATGTGAGGTGCCTTCTTCTGACCATTGGACTCTGTCTGCCCTGTGAGACATTGGGACTCCTTGTGCCCCCCCCCTTTACCCCCCTGAAAGCCAAACTGCAAGCCATTCACACGCACACACCCCTTTACATTTGGTTTGACTATTTCTTACAAGCTGAGACCATGTCACAATATGTGCTCTCAGAATCTCTCTCCATTTTAGGCTTAGGCATTCTACCTCAGAATGGACTTCTCTACCAACAAAGAGTATCTGACTCTTTTTTTTAAAGCAAAAAGCCTTGTGTGAACTGTGTCCTAAAGCGGCCTCCCCTCCATGTGTATGCAGCCTGCTCATGCTAATATAATTCCACTAACAGCTATCACACATGGAACTTCTAATTTCAAATGCAGTTTATCTGTCAGCTGATGACAATTGCTACTATCTTTGTATGAGAACACTTTTTGAGGCATCTGCTTGACTGTTGCTATGCCACAGAGTTTGAGCATGCACAGAGCCCATTTCCTCATTGCTGGATAACTGTGGCCCACAGGGTTACCAACTGCCTGGAGAAAAAAGTGTCCTGTTGCTTTAATAGAGGTTTAATGGGCTGTTTAATAGGATGTTATTTGGGACATGATAGTTATCTCCATGCCATGAAAAACTTCAACATTTCTAAGCTTCTATTAAAAGGACAGGGCATTTTCTTTCAAACCTATTGGTAATCTAGTAGCCCACTATACTGTAACATAAGAATTGGTTGTAATAGTCCTCTATTTAAAAAGAATGACAATTGTAATATTTCAAAATTCTGGAACTCTCTCCCCAGAAAGATTCATCTGTCCCTTTCTGTTATTCTCTTCCACGAGCTGGTACAGACTTTTTGGTTTGGCCTTCCCTCAGTGATCCCCACTTCCTTCCCAATGTTTTGTTTTTATGTTCTTTGTATGTATTTTAGATCTGTTTTTAATTGTTGTGTTTCCTTGATTTTAATGTTTTTTAAGATCTGGTTTTATTATTGTTCATGGCCATCGCTAAGTCCTCTGATAATGCATTCCACAACCAAATTACTCGCTGAGTAAAGAAGTAATTCCCTTTGTTCATTTGAATCTGTTTCCCACTAACTTCATTGAATGCCCCTGAGTGTTAGTGTCACAGGAGAGGGAGAAGTTTGCTCCAATTTCTCCACACCATACATAATTTTATAAACCACTAGTTTATAAACTGAAACATCTTGTATAGCAGGCTCTAAGTCTTGTGTAAAATCAGGTAGTCTTAGGGTAAGTCCACAAGTCACCAATGCCTTAACACTATAAAGTATAAGGGAATATAAATAAAAACTGAATGGTGGTGGCACTTCTCTAGAACATTCCACACGCTCCAAAATCAGTTCGCTCTCTGATCTGTCATTCAGAGGGTCTCCCTATCCACTGGCTGCTTTGCCTGAGTCCTGCCTCCAACATTCTAAACATTTTGCTGTTCCTCTCCCCCCCCATAGCCAGTCAGAACACAGAGGTTATTTGCATGTGCAGCCTCATTGGCCTTTGCCTCGGAACACAGAGGTCATTTGCATATGCAACTTGATTGGCTTTTGCCTCTAACATTCTAAATAGGTTGCTCTTCTGAAGTAAAATGTGTCCAATCTCCAGGTGAGGGCTGGAGATCACTCAGAATTACAACTGCTTTCCAGACGGCAGAGATCAGCTCCCCTGGAGAAAATGGTGGGCTCTGTATCCTTATATGCTGCTGAGGTGGCCCCCATGACAGCCAATGTGACGTAGAAGTCAGGGCTTCAGAGCACGGGAGAGGCTGCAGGTGTGTGTGGGGTGGAAAGCTGAAGAGTGAGGGGGAAATAAAGGTAGTTTGATGATTGTCTGGGAAGGAGATAGGGTTGCCAACTCCAGGTGGGAAATTCCTGGATATGTGAGGGATGGAGCCTGGAGAGGGTGAGGTTTCAGGAGGCATGGGACCTCGGACAGGTACAAAGCCATAGACTCCACCCTCCAAACCAACTATTCCCTTCTGGGAAACCATCGTTGCCAATCTCCAGGTAAAGACTGGAGATCACTCAAAATTACAACTGTTCTTTAGGTAGCAGAGATCAGTTCCTCTGGAGAAAATGGTGGACTCAGTGTCATTATACCCTGCTGAGGTCGCCACAGCAAATTGACACTGAGTGTCCAAGGCCGGGGCCACCCACCCAGAGCCTCTTTCTAGAGGTCGTTGTATTTATTTCCACAATGGGCCTTTTTCCCAGTACGGGAATGTTCCTAAACGGTAAGCCAGGCATGCCCTTCTGGTTCAGAAAATAGTTGCCTGGCTATCCAAGGAGAGACAGTGGTGAGAGTGTGAAGCTAGCACTGGAAAGATCTGGGTTCAAATCCACACCCTATTCAGTTATGAAGTTCTCTGGACCAAAATGCTCTCAGCATAATCTGCCAGTACATTCTTGTGGGGACAGTAAAATGTAAATAACAGGTAAGAGGAGAAAGCTCTGAGAAAAGTGGGAGGGAAATGTGATGGATCAATAAAGAACGCGTCCGAAGTAACAGCAAAGCAGGTATGCTCTGTCAGCTCGCCTCTATAGCGTTCGGCGTCCGAAGTAACAGCAAAGCAGGTATGTTCTGTCAGCTCGCCTCGGATTCGACTGTGCGACTGAACAACAACAACAGGAAAGTGAGTCGTTGAGTTTGGGTTTTATACGGTTGTGCGGCATGATGTCTAAGCAATTCCCCGGGTGGAGAAAGGGCGCCCTCTGCCTGTTCTGCGGGAGCGGAGCGTGCTTTGCTCAGTCCTGTGATGTGACAAGGCGAAGGGATGGGGGCGTTCGAACCGTTTCCGTCACGTGACCGCCAGGCCTTTTCTTGCCGCCGCGCCTTCTCCAAGGCGATTCGGACGCGGCGGCGGTTGGAGAGGAGGCAGCGAGCCGGCCATGGGGGAGGCGGGAGACGACAGCGAACTGGTGGACGCTGAGCAGATTATGTTGGAGGTAGAGCAAGAGGCGCAAATGAAGTGAGTCTCTGGCTGGTCTGCCTGCCCACCAGGCATGGTGAAATGTCTGTGATGTAGAATGTCCCAAGAGTTGCTTTCTCTCAGCGTTGTTTAAAACAAAAAACAAAAGAAACCAGCAGTGGTTTTAAATAGCTTTAAGTACATGAGCTAATAATCATAATTCTGCATTTATGCAGATCTTTAGAACATTCAAAGGGCTTCATGTACCATTATTTCAGTGAGTCCTCACAACAGACCTGTAAGGTAGGTCACTGTTTATATCCTATCCTGAGAAGGAAAGGGGGAGTGAATGTGCTTGTAACTGAGAGAAGAGTGGTTTGACTAAGGCCCCTCACTGAACTCCTGGCAAAGGTGAGCCTCTGCTTAGCTGTGATGTTGGAGTAGTTCTCAATATGAACAACAAGAAGAAGAGATTGGATTTATACCCCTCCCTTCACTCGGGAGTATCAGAGTGGTTTACAATCTCCTTTCCCTTCCCCTCCCCACAACAGACACCCTGTGAGGTAGGTGGGACTAAGAGAGCTGGTCTGAGAACTGCTCTTGAGAGAACAGCTCTGACAGAACTATGGCTTGCCCAAGGTCATCCAGCAGCTGCGAGTGGAGGTGTGGGGAATCAAACCCGGTTCTCTCAGATTAGAGTCCGCGATAGGTAGAATCTTGGCAGCTGACAAAAGTGCATATTTGCCATAGTTGGGTTTGGAAGCTGGAGAGGTGGAAGATGATTTCAATTTCCCCAATATTTTCCTACTAATCCCCCCCCACACACACACCCTTCATTCCTTCAGGGGTGAAGGAGGCTGATAGTGCAACATTGCTTAAGTTTACACCCTTTTAAATGGGCATAAAAGGGTGAAATTCTGTTTCGGATTGCCCTGTAAACCCAAAGCAGCTGCAGAGGAAAAGAGGGATTGGGTACATAGAAGTAGCACCCTTTGGTATTAGAGATGTCCCTGCATGTCAGCAAGGCTGTGGGGATGGTGCGCTCAATAACACTGAACTGATTTTGAACTGGGGCCATCAGCACCCCCTTTTCAACTCAGCAAGTGCAAGGCAGAGCCAGCCCAACTTATTCCAGTAACTGAAACAGAACATTCCAAGTGACACATTACATATACATGCTAACTAACATGGGTCATAATTGCCTGGGAAGTTCTCCTGCACAACCTTCAGTGGAATGAGCATGAGTGTGCTATGACAGAACACCTGATCATTTAAGTCAGGGCACTGGAGTATTTGAAGGGATGCATTTTAGCAGCCATGGTCTGTCCTGTTTTATTTTTTGTTTTTTTTGCCATCAAGTCACAGCCGACTT